AAATGTTGAACAGAACATACTATAAAGAAAAAATAAAGAACAATTCTTTTTATCAGCCATATTCATTTAGGGAGGGGATTATACATTCCACAGGATTAGATCTGGGGTTGAGTGAGGGTTTTTCAAGTTCACCTTTCCATTATTTGTGTGACCCTGGAGTAAGTCCTTTCTTTACCTTTCTCATCATGGGCCTAAATCTGGAGTTTGACAAAGTTCAGAGCCCTCCTATATGCCTTTTGGCTGAGCAATTTAGGGCGAGTTATTTAAACACAAGCCTTAGTTTCTTGTGTGAAAGTTGGAGATGATAATAAATACCTCATAGATTGTTATGAGACTTATATTAGATAATCCATGTTAAGTTTTTAGCACAATGCCTGACACATAGGAAGCACTTAATAAATAGAAACTCCCTGAATTATTACCTATAAAAATAAATGAATGGACTAAGTTGTCTTCAGCATCTGCAGCTACTCATGTCTCCTCTAGCCTCAACTCTATATTTTTACAGCCCCCCCCAACTTTGACATCTCTCTTCAGGTTCAGCCTCCACCTGTAACCCAAGTAGAGTGAACAAAGGAAGCAATAAGATGACCAGTGAGGCAACAGAGATGAGTGTGAAGATGTGGTGATGCAGGCAAGGGAGGGAGGAATAGGGCTCTGTCCTCCTACAGCCACCCCCAAGACTGTTGGATATTGAGCCCAAGCATTTGACCCCCACGGAATACAGGATGAATGAGTTTGTTATAGGGAGCTTGGTCAATCCACCTAGCTCATTTTTTACCTTTAATGAATAGAACACAGAAACTGTCAAACTGCTTGTGCCTGGTGAATGGAATAATATGCATGAATGAGTTTTGTAAACAGCACAGGTCAGATGTTGCTGTTTTTGCTGCTGTTGCTATAACTGATAAACACCTTCTTTAAAAACCCAAAGGATATGGGCTCTTTGTCTACTTTCTTTAAGCCGGCACTAGCTGTTTGGATTAAACTGACCATTAGGCTTGAGGAATGTCTATCTTATCTATAGCTTCTCAAAGAAAAAAGAATCCTTCCCAAAGGCAGTATAGAGATTAATAGTACAAGTTCTCAGGTTTCTGGATTCAGTTCCTTTCTAGTTATGTGTGGTCTTGGGCAAGAAGTTGCTTTAACTTCAAGCTTCAATTCCCCCTTCTTTAAAATGGGAATAATGCCCTGGCTGATGAGCTCAATGGTTAGAGCATCTGATTGCACATGGGAAGGTCACAGGTTTGATGCCCATTCAAGGGCATGTACCTGGGTTGCAGGTTCAATCCCTGACCATGGTCGGGGCATATGTGGGAAGTAACCAATTGATGTGTGTCTCTCACATCAATGTTTCTCTCTCCTCCTCCTCCTCCTCCTCCTCCTCCTCTTCCTTCTCCTCCTCCCTCCTCCCTTCCACCCTCTCTGAAAAGCAATGGAGGAAAAATATCCTCAAATGAGGATTAACAAAAATAAAATAGGGATAATGATTGTATATACACAGAAGGATGCTATGAAAATTAAAGGAAGTGATGAATGTAAGGTCTTGGCATAGTGCCTGGAATGGAGGTATCCTCTAAGGGTTGGCTATTACCATTATTAAAATAATAGAAGAAATAATATAGACAGTGTTATCTATATTTTAAATAATTAAATATTATCTACAAATATAGGTAATATTTTCTATCTCTAGCAAAGTCTTCATCAAAAGGATGAGTAGTGGAGGAAAGTGGCAAAGAAAAGGATGCGACGAAGCAACTCAGCTACATGGAATCTGTGTACTATGGTCATTTCTCAAAATCCTCAAACCTGTGGAGGCTGCTGCAACACCCCCGGGCCCTGGGATCGAAAATTCAATTTAAAATTAGTCCAAGCATCATACTAATGCTTCTATTTGAAATGTTGTAACCAGAGCTTTCCTATTACTGACCCTAGAGAGAAAGGAAGTACTGAGTAGTCAGGACCTCCTATTGGAGGACTGAATACCCCACGCAGCTGTAATGAGATGTGTCGTCATACTAAAGCCTAAATCTGAGCAGTGCCAGGAAGCCTGCGGAGATTTATCAAACCTACTCTGTTCATTCACTCGCAAAGGTGGCATCTCTTCCGTGACCAATGGGATTTTTGAATAGAGAGGAAAATTTGAAATGTGGGAGTCAAGGAAATAATTAGATCAATATTGTCTATAACAGGGGCTGGAAAACATTTTCTGTTTGCGCCAGACAGTAAATATTTTAGGTGTTGTGAAACCATATAATCTCTTTCCCATCTACTCAACTCTACTGTTGTAGTGTGAATAGCCGTGGCTGTGTGCCAGTAGCGCTTGATTTACAAAACAGGTGGCTGGCTGGATTGGCCCGTGGGGCATCATTTGCTGAGCCTTAGTCTATACGAGGGACTTAATGCAATGACTCAAGTTGTCAGAATGACCTGGGCTAAAGCTCAGATAAATCAAACCTGATGTCAAAGTGTGTGTTGACTAGAGATTAGCTGACCTAACACATGGGACTTCAGACCGAAAATGAAGAGAGAGGCAATAAAATGCTTAAATTGAAATGGAGAAACTTAGCTTCTGCAGAAGAAAATAAGAATAACATGGAAAAAAATTACAACATACATGACTCAGTAATTCACATTGGAAACTGGGCAGGGCTCTGAAACATTATTCGCAGCCTTGTTTTTCTGTATTCTAAGGCAGCAATCTTCAACCAGTGTGCTGCAAGCATTTTTAAAACATGTAATACCTGACTATTTAGTCAGGGGCACTGACCTCTTTTCCCTTAGATTGTTAAATTTTAAAAATGACATCAGCCAATACAACAATTGCCATCCAGTGTGAATGAATCGAAATTATACCTATTTTTATCATTTCAGCAAAAAATATATATATTGTGTGAGTGTACTGCAGAATTTCAGTGATTAGTTTGTGTGTCATGAGATGAAAAAGGTTCTAAGGTTCAGAGCATGATTAATAACTCAGCAAACACACATTTCTGTTTGCTGGGGACTGTCCTAGTGTGCCTGATGTTCCTGTGTAATTATCAATACTATTGCTTTTTAAAGAAGTGTCCTAGGCCCGGCCGTTATGGCTCAGTGGTTGAACCTCGACCTATGAACCAGGAGGTCACAGTTCAATTCCCGATCAGGGCACATGCCTGGGTTGTGGGCTTGATCCCCAGTGGGAGGCATGCAGGAGTCAGCCAATGGTTCTCTCTCATCATTGATGTTTCTATCTCTCTCTATCTCTTCCTTCCTCTCTGAAATCAATAAAAATATTTTTAATGGCCCTTTCCACCCAGTTTCAAAGGGCATTGTACCAAGTCCAGTGAGACATTCCATTTATTATTTAAATATAAATCTCAGATAAATGCAAATGTGAACCTTAAGTGAACATATTCAATATTAGGGTTGTTTTATAATCTGAAGCATCACATTTACCTTGGACGTAGGCGCTTGATTCTTTCTCGAGTTTGCTTCTGTTTTGTGTTGAGCCCATTTGTCTGCTTTCTGCAAAATGTCTAGCTGACTCTTCTCTGTGTGGGCGCTCTGCGTAGAGTTCAGTATCCCATTAATTCTGAACAATTCACATACAAATAGGTAGTTTAACCTCACATGTTTCCCCAAGGCCTGAGGAGGTTGACGCAAATATAAACAGGCTTGGAAGAGCTGCTGAAATTTTTAGCTGAGACTTTAAAGAAATTCTTTTCTCCCCGGGACTTTCTGGCGATGGCTGTAATCCAGCTCAAGTGCTCCAGCGCTGTGTACACTGTTATCCTCCCTCCTTGATTCAGGCTCTCTGACATCCCTGGCTGTTTGAATTACACACCACAGGGATACACAGGGTGGATGATGCTAGTCCATTGGGTTGCATCAATAGCTTCTTAGATCCCTTTTCTGATTCTATTATTCTGTGACTGCTGAGCAGCCTGTTGTGTGTTTGTTTTTTTTCCATTAGAAGCTCACACACAGACATTTTTAAAGAGCATATTGTTTTGAATGAATTAAGATAAAAATTAAAGCGAAAAATAATTTTAAGGGGAAAGATAACATGAAGTGTGACAGAGATATTATACTGGTAATATATCAAACCTAAAAGAATTTTGTGTCAATAATGGCAACCAATATGAAACCAATATTTATCAGGCATCTACTATGTTCCAAGCACTGTATGTGTTGTATGATTATGATGATGATGGTGATGATGATGCCAGTAATAGCAGCTATATGCTCAGGCCTTATGACCACACAAATGAGGGAGGCATGAGCCCTGCCCTCCTAAAAACTTATGAGTCGGCAGGAATAGCAGACATTGAACAAATACTTCCAAGTGTTATCTACTCTGGGAAATTGCAGGGTACGATGAGAGTCAGGGCAGACTCCTCTGAAGAGTGACTTTAAGGACTAGCCACACAAAGGGAAAGTATAGTTAAGTTCCTATGGCATCTTGTCAGCATTATAATGAAATGACATTGAATGAAATATTATTTGAGGACCTACTGTATAGCATATAGACAGATGAGCATGAAAGAGATACAGTCACTACTTTGGATCAGGCCCACAGTATTTCAATCTCAGGATGCAAAGTTTTAAGTTGGTCTTTGTCTATTTCTAACCAAGGAAGAGCACAATTTATTACCTTAACCATATAGTATTTTGTCTGATAGGCACTTTATAATAACTAGATTTATTCTACATGCCAGTTTATACAGCTTCTAAAAAATTGTCATGGGTTCTCAATATAAAGCAGAAAGTTGTTTTTGTATTTTCTGTTTATTGTTTCCATCTCTTTGCTTCTGAAGATAGAACAATTACTGATGTGAAAGCTGGGATATGAAAGAGCATCTCCCTCCTATGTCTGCATATTTCTATATGCATATTTATGCCTGTGTGTGGCATAGAATTCTACATTATTAGATTTCAAAGAGTGATGGAAAAAGAACATTTTGAAAACAATTCTAAGACTAATTTATATTAAAGACATTTCTTTTTCTCCTTCATAGCTCCATCATCCATCCCAGGGCTTCCGCTTTGGAACTGTCCGGGAAAGCAGTGCTGAAGATTATGTGAGGCAAAGCTTCCCCGAGATGCATGAGTATATGAGAAGGTACAATGTACCAGCCACCCCCGATGGAGTGGAGTATCTGAAGTGAGTGTCAGCCTCTTGGGGCCAAAAAGTTCTCACTGAGGCGGTGTTTGTTGTTGTTTTTGTTTTAAATGACAGTTCAATATACCTACTGTGTGTTCAGTAATACCTCACACTGTGTGAGATCCAGGAGACAGTATGGAATAGTTTGCATTTGATTATGGGACTAAGATTACTGCATAGTCCCAAGTTAGCAGTAGCTTTGCTCTAAATGCCAGTGGGGTCATTAGTGGAGCAGATGGTGGGGGAAGCAAATGTTGGCTTGACTTCACTTGAGAAAACAATGGTACAGAAATGATAAAACACTCAGGGAATGTGGCCAGAAGATAAAGTGTCCCAAAGCACCCATTTCCTTCACAGTGAATCTCTAAGCCCATGGACTCTCTCCTCTTTTTATAAGGAAGAGGGATTTATCTTAGAGATTTCCTGTAGATAGGAAATAAGATAAAAAGCAATGATCCCATGCCTGCATCCTTCCCATCAGAATCTGCGAGAAGCAATCAAGAGCAATGCCATTGCCATGGCAGATTACTGGAGCCTGTAATTCAGTGAGGCAGAATGCAAAGGAGGGTGAGTAGGTATGGATCTGCTCATCTAGTCAGCCTGGGAGAGGGGAAGGAATGGCTCCCAATAAGCACCCAGCATGAGAGTGAGTAGTCCTCTCCCTCCTGCCTAATGGTCCCAGGACAATGACATATAGTCAATCCTCCAATCCCTAGAATTGCACAGCATCAGGAAACTGGTTTCTCTATGGTTGACCACAATAATCTTCCCAAATTCTTTTTTTTTAAGAAAGAAGGAAAACAAATAACTTCATGGGACAGAATGGCTGGCTTTGTGTTTCTCAAGATCCCTAGTAATGGGCCCCTAAAACAATCTTATGGACTTTAAACTAGAGTCTAGAGAGAAAGCCCAGTGCTCTCAAATTTGCGACGTTATATATGATGCTCAAATACTATGAAATGGTACTTTTAATTTTGCAAAAACATTAGAGTCCCTCTAAGACACCGAGTTAAGTGCTCCTTGGCCTCCCCGCTCCTCCTCTGTATTCTCTTCTTCAGGCAAAGTCATGGCTGAGAGAGAGAATAAGATGTCAGGGAGATAATAGTGGCTTCCAGCTAGGTATCACTGGCTGACAAACCAGGTTCTTCTGGCACAAACGGGTGTGATGGGCCACTGGTGCTCTCCCCAGCTCCACCTCACTCAGGGCATTTCATTTATTCTGGAAGCTTCACCTGAGCAGGCCCTAGTGCTCAGAGTTGACCCCACTCCAGCCTGGAGAGAAAAAAACAGGTAGAAAGGCAGGTGCAGATGAAGAAGTTGAGGCCCAGAATAAGCAACTTGCTCATGGTAATACAGCTAGCAAGTGGCAGACTCAGGACTAGAATCAGGTCTCTAGAATCCAACCACAATAGGCTGGTCTAGGAACCATAACAGAAAAGTAGGACCTGGATGGTCAAAGAGTAGTCCGTGTTCCAGCAGCATCCGTGTTCCACTTGTGGCCTAGTCACTGCCTGAGCTCTCAGCCACCACTCCAAGCAACTGCAGTCCTCATGTTACCTACCTGATATCTCAGAGCCCTGACCTGCAGGGCCCAACCCCTGGAGTCCTCTGAACAGGAAAGGTTCCTCCTGTGTGAAGCCTGTCCCTCCCTCTCCTATCAAAATTCCCCTGGGCTTAGTCCTACTCACTTAGGGCCCTGATTTCTGAGATGATGCTTTTCTTAAAAAGTAATCCCTATTTAAAGTATTCATTTCTTTTAGTATGTTTACATATGACTATGTTTTGTGTTTTATGTATTATGAAATGAATGTTCAAAAAGAGCACGAGTCTATAATGAGAGAAACCCCTGGAGGCTCTACCAACTGTAAGGATGATTCAGCCAGACTAGAAGCTGCTTATACCCAGCTCACACCCAGCCACTTCCTCACCAGTGGCTCAGGGTCCCATGAGAGTCTGTGAGCTGATTGCTTCTTGCCTCCCCATGTAATAGAGACCTGTCACAGCCAGCCGCACTTTGCAGTCTGAAATCAGTAATTATTTAAGGATACCACTGAGAGTGGACCTCACGAATTACTTGTTAGGAAAACTGAGCCCCAATTTTTATTGCAACCAAAAATATTTGCAGAGTATTGGTAAATGGTGACTTGTTGCTCTATAGCTCCCAAGGTAAATTCTGCTAATATAGTGGTAAAACTTCGGAGAAACATCTTTCAATTCCACTTTTTTATTTTTATTGCCAAGATTCCATTAAGGTTCCTCATCCTCAGTTCCTAGGAGAGCCCTTTCTGAAGCTTCCCACAGCCGTAGAGCTAGGAGATGTTCTTCATTTGGGGTAAAGTTAAACATGGGCCTCATTGTACATTAAATCCAACACCCTGTGGAAAAGGGGATGGATTGTGAATTGGTGATTCTACTTCCTGGAAGAATAGAAGGAGGAAGCAATTGTCACTGGCACCAAGGAGGAACTTGACCTACTTACTATATGTCCACGTGTGCCCCAGACAAAGCCATCCGTGTAAAGATGCACATCTGCCCAATGATGAAACTTACAGTCTGGGACTGGCTTTCTCTTTTAGATCTTGATGGGCCCTGGCCATGTTCTCTGTATTGAATTCCAACAGCCTCATTTCTGGCTCTAAGTAAGGAATGACTGAGCCCAGATGGGACAGAGACGAGTTGTTTTTGCCCAGCTGTTTGGACAACCCTGAGAGTCAGAAAGCCTTTCTTAGATCAATGTATGTCCACATCTTTCCAAAAAGGATTTGAGGAGACTGAAAACAAGAGTCATTGCATACAACTTAAACAATTCTCTGGGAAACTCCCCTTTCCTCACCCTCCCCCACTTTGTAAGTGGGAGCTCCTCTGGACCATCTCTGGGCCTGGATCCAAAAAATGGGGGGAACACAGAAAGGACACACAAGGCATCTGTTGGCATCTAAATCCCAGCCCATGGCCGACTCACTGATACTATCCAGGGACACCTGCTTGCATGATTCTTGCCAGAACTGCTTCCTGGGATGAGAGTGAGACATGAATCTCTGGAGATAAATTAATAAAACAGATTTCTAAGATCTATCACAGATTATTCCCTTTGCATTTATTGAAAGCTAGCCTGTAGACTTTAAAGAGACCTTAACTCCATTTCCCCCCAGGAATGCTAGATCTCTTATTTGCATTTCCTTATATCTCCTCCTAAATGTGAAATAATACCTGGTCTCTGAAAAATAGGATAGTGATCATGACAGAAAGAAATAAGAATATCCACATGCTGATAATGAACCCACCTAGCTCCAACACTTACTCGCTATGTAACCTGGATCAAGTTACTTTGACTCTCTGAGACTCAATGTCCTCATCTGTTAAAATGGGATAGTACCACCCACTCGTGATTTCACGTGAGTGATGAAACTTATGGAGAATAATAAATACAATGCCTAGCACACAAAAAATCCTCAGTCAGTGTAAGAGAAATGAACCTTCTTGTTCAATTCAGAGTCACTCTGGCTCTTTTATTGGCTCTAGAAGTAATGGTGGATAAACCCGTTGGAAAGAGGTCATGCTCTCTCATAAGAGAGGCTTTCCCCTGGTCTCTTCTCTACAGGTCAGTGAGATGCCAACAAGGCTGAGTCAGCAGCTAGCTAGCTCTTGCTGCCCTTCGTGTCTAGGTTTCTGTCCCCTAAACAAAAGCCAGCCGTCAGCCTTAGTGCTTCCTGTTCATTAAGGAATCATTTTTCACTTTTCTTCTCTTGGTCTCAAATGTAGGAATGATCCAGAGAAACTAGACGCCTTCATCATGGACAAAGCCCTTCTGGATTATGAAGTGTCAATAGATGCTGACTGCAAACTTCTTACGGTGGGGAAGCCATTTGCCATAGAAGGTATTAATCAGTCACTCTTAATTCACTCTTACTCGGGATGTGCTCATTTTGCCAACCTAGCAAGTCACAAATGCCAAAGTCAGAGGCAAAATGCTATTCATCTTCCCTGGTGTTCATTTTCAACGCATAAGCACTTAGCTATTAAGTTGCTGAAGTTAGGAATTTATTTTTCACCTACTCCACAAACATGTATTTACCCACTGTTAGGAAGAGGGGGAAAAAAAAAAGAAAACATTGTTGTTACTCAAATGATGTTGCTGCAGATACCTGGGAATGGTGGCATAATGTCATAAATGGGGAGTCCAATTTTAAATTGATCTTTATTTTCCAATGGCCAAATACTATAATGAATCTGATGCAAAAAAACTAGAATGATTGCATTTTACCACTGGAAGGACCCCAATGTTGATCTAACCCAGTGGTCGGCAAACTGCGGCTCACCAGCCACATGCGGCTCTTTGGCCCCTTGAGTGTGGCTCTTCCACAAAATACCACGTGCGGGCGCGCACGTACAGTGCGATTGAAACTTCGTGGCCCATGCGCAGAAGTCGTGCGCGCCCGCAGCTAGTATTTTGTGGAAGAGCCACACTCAAGGGGCCAAAGAGCCGCATGTGGCTCGCGAGCCGCAGTTTGCCAACCACTGAGTAACCTAATCTACTCACTTTATACACCAGAAAGCCTGGGGACGTTACATCACTTTTTCATAATCACAGTTAGGTGATAATACTGGAATTAGAATCCCAACCTCGTGGTTCTTAAATAAATGTTTTCCTACTAGTTGGAAAACAAATAGAAAAAAATCTCATTCTGTAGCTTAGTAACCTTAAGAGTACTAAACAAAACCTTGTTTGGGACCTCAGGTTTGCCTCTCTCCCCACTGGCAGCAAACTTTTGCTTCCAAGTTGATCAACCAATCAATCAAACTTCAGGACCAAAGAAGGATTGCTTTGTCAGTAGCTCCTTTCATTCTGGACAACAGTTGATATATGGAGCTGGTAGTTTGAACCAGCAAATTTCATGTCTCCCAGCTCCCAGCTTCCCTCCCCTGACAGTATACCCTGACCCTCAAGACAGCCATGTTCACTTGTCAGAAAACACTTCAACTTGAAACAGTCCCAGGGCAGGTGTCCAAGTCCTGTTTCCATAAAACTGTACTTTCCTGTATGTTCACTAGTGCAGTGAGACTATTGTGATTCCAGTTTTCCAGCTATAGCTGGTCTCTGTCTCCCCTAAACACATCAGCAAATTTTGTACTTAAGTCTTTGCTTTTGTGATGAATGAGAATATAACAGCTGATGCTATTTCTTCGTGCCTTCTCCTCAGAAAAAAAATCAATCTCCTCTCCAGGCAAAGTGACCTCCACCTGAACCAGGGATAGAATTCAGGAAGAGAGAGATTACATGGTAGTGGTCTTCTATTAAGGCTGCAGTCTGAGCCCAGACAGCGTGGCTCAGTGGTTGAGCACCAACCTATGAACCAGGAGGTCACGGTTCGATTCCTGGTCAGGGCACATGCCCGGATTACAGGCTCGATCCCCCACGTGGAGTGTTCAGGGAGCAGCCAATCAATAATTCTCTCTCATCATTGATGCTTCTATCTCTCTCTCCCTCTCCTTTCCTCTCTGAAATCAATAATATATCTTAAAAAAAAAAAGACTGCAGTCTGAGATAGCAAAGTCACAAAAAGAAAAGAAAAAGAAGAAAGTTTAAAAACCCAAAGAACATTTATTATATAACCCCATTTTGATGTAGCAATGGAAAATTCCCATTTTTGTGTGTGTGGATTCTGCAGATACAGAAGGGATGTTACTTTCTTTCTGTCCTAGATTCACTGGGTAATTGAGGTCCCTTCTGCCATTAGCAGCTACTAAACAATGAATCATTGATTGGGGTCATAAGAATGAGGGACTCCACTTCCCACCTTCTCCACTTCAGAGAGCAACGCTGTCTTGTCAAAAGGCTGTGGTGAGATGGCTTGTTTGCCTCTGCTGGACCCCAGTGCCAGATGCCACACAATTAACTCCCGCTGACTCCCTGTTTACATTTCCATCTGAGCGCCTGAGACTTCTCCTCTTGCCATTCTCATCATCTCCAGACACCACAGTGTCTTCAAAGGGGATAAGCACAAAAATGGCCCATGGAAGAGCTCTCCCTGCAAGAGAGCAGAAAAGCTACAGACTTGAACAGAGAGAGCATTCTCATCATCATTGTTGGTTTATTCTGGGGAGGCGGGGAGAGGACGGGGAACTACTGCTGATTTATTCTGGGTGAGGTGCAAATCAGAAAATTTAATTCAATACTGCCCCTGGCAACAATTTCACAACCTAAAAACAGAACTTGGTAAAACACAAAGAGAACTTACTTCTAAGTTATAATCAGCAATGTGATGAAGATACTAGGGAAAGGCTTGATTGCTGCTCTTTGAAAAAGCATGTTAATTTATAGATTTTTAGGAAATCTCTCTCTCTCTCTCTCTCTCTCTCTCTCAAATTTATCTTCATTGTTGAAAGTATTACAGATGCCCCCTTCTTTTTCCCTGTTGATCCCGCTCCACGCCACACCCCCTACCACAGGCCTACTGCAGGGAATCTTTCTCTCTTAATGAAATTTTTAAAAGTATTACCTGCTTTCCTCTAACAACATTTATGTTTCTGGAACTTATGAAAATGTAGACTTTATTATTAATTCATTAGACTTTATGGGCATAAAAATATCATCAAAGCAATTTATGAACAATTTTTACTTACAGGACTGTTGCATATGTCTGGTTCCTTTCACAGGATCTAGGCGTATAACAGTTATGTGATAAATGATGTATTACCCATTACATAACTCATTAGGTTAGATTTGAAATAAGTACTTAATTCAGTCTCTAATGTAGTCATCAAAAGAACCCTGATGTTCTGCATGCACTTTTCCAGGTGCTTAAATGACTTTGGGAACTTAGGAGGGAAAATGGAGTACATTGATTTCTTCACGCTCAATGTACATTCACTCTGTATAGTACTGATATCACACCACCCACCGTGACTACTAAATACACCCCCAACTTCACCATTCACCATTTATTTAGGCTGGAAAGATAAAAGGTGAGGCAAATGAGAGAGAGAGTGGCTCCACGCTGTTTGAAACCTTTTCATGAGTACTTAGCACAGCAAACCAAAACTATTAGGAATTTCAAAGCATGTGGAAAACTTTTGGTCATTTCAAATACTATATACACCAGAGAAAACAACGACATAGTGTGTGCTCTGCGGGTTGGGAAAGGGGAAGAAAGTGTTGAGATAAATGAACACATGTCCCAAATGTATGCATTGGCGTGAGCTGACAATAAAGGTCAAACGAGAAAAAAGAAATGGAACCGCACAGTAATGATTTGTGACCTTTCTGCCAAAGACCTTTGCCCGTTTTTGAGTTTGTTCTCTTACTTGTTCTCCACTAATTGTTGAATACAGTGCTTGGAGCACCAGATGTGAATGTGAGTGCTTGGGTTAGAGCAGAGCTGCTGTTACTCCTGTGCTACGTGGGGTAGGTCTCTTAATCAGGTCTTCAGGTTCCTCATCTGCATAATGGGTTGATGAACAATATATCTAGGATAGGGTTGTAAAGATTGAGTAAAGTAAGACATGTAAAGTATGTACAAGCACATAGAAAGTGCCTAATCAATTATTATTCAATATGTTGAATTAAGAGATTAAGACCAATTCACATAAAATTGTCCCAGGATAGATAGCCTTCAGATACTCAGCTTCTCCCACACACTCTCTCTCCACTTCGATGTGCTGGGGATAAATGAGCCTCATTTTTAGTGTCATCTTTATAGTTAAGACTATTTCAATATGTTCTCAACCATTGCCCCAGAGTAGCTAAATATGGTATTGCAAGGACTGGCTGCAAAACTGAATTAGTCTTTTAGTCTTTCTTCCTGAAGCTTTTTTTTTTAATGCTACCTGAAATCTTATTTTCAAAATATCTATTTTCCAACCACATTTCAGGAAGTTCTCTTAGTCCATGAATTTTTAACTATACATTTCCTAGCCAAAGTATATTTCTACCACTCTTAGCTGAGTAAAGCTGATTTATCCATGGGGAAAAGATCGGGATTCTATTCTGAAAATTGTTCTTTTGGGCTATTAAGCTGTATGCAATTTCCAGGGTGCCTGATGCCTTCATCTTTAGGGTTGAAGGATTCCATTTTGCTTCATCCATCAACCACAAAATAGTCAACCTCGTCTTTATTGCAAAGCCATGTTTCTAATGATAATGAAAGCAGCTCAGGCTGCTAAGTTGAGTCAGCAATTTAAAAAGAAGAATTCTTTGACCAATGAACACATCAAATTCGAAAAGCAACTGATAAAGAGAGGATAGAAATGAAACCTTTTAACTTTTACTATTTTATGTTTCTGAGTAAAATGGAATTTTATGTCTTTTAACAAATACCTCTTCTCATTACCATGTAGCTTTTTTCCTCTTTCTCCCCTTGATAGCTTGTTTTAATTATCTAATAATTATTATTAATGTTAAAAGTCATTAACATGACAATATTCAATATATGCAATAAAATAGAAAATTAAAAAGGACAGTAATCTATTTTTAGCAATCGCAGCTTAACTTTGACATGATGGAGTGGAGTGATTTAAAATTTATTATTTCCTATGTAGCAATTTTTTATAAATGTCTCTGCAACTTCAACATAGCTTTTGCCCTGGGGCAATTTTTATACTTTTGTTGTAGTGCCAAAATTCTTTTCTTAGAATATGTAGATTTATTATAAGTATTAACTTCAGATTTTTAAACTGTCTTATCATGTATTTTTGTCACATCTTCCCAAAATACCATGTAAGAATCAGTCTCAGATGTCTTCTCTCATCCTCTCATATGGTAGCAATCTATCATTCCTCTGAACTCCACAGAGTTTTATCCATTTTCCTCATTGCATCCTAGTCATTATATTTCACCCATATTGAATTTATGCCTTACCTATCTTTTTTCCCAAGAAAAGCCCTGTGACTTCACACCATGTTGTGTAGTTATGTATGTGTGCCTCATCTCCCCATATCACCATGAGCTTCTCATGGCTAGACCGAGTGTCTGATTGAACATGGCAGCCTCTACAGCACTTGGCGGAGTGTCTGATACAGAATGAGCATTCACTACATGTTTGTGGGATTAATGAATAGATGCATAGGTGTGCAACAAATGCTTATCAAGTGAAGAATGAAAACAATTCTGCCAATACTACACTAAGGTGGGCTGAGTAATTTAAGAGGATTTGTAAGGGGAATAATAGAGTCAGGGAGCATCCTTGCTAGTTAATTTCCAATGTATAGATGGCATATCTGTCTATACACACACACACACACATTTACATGGACAAAATATGCCCATGAATGATATATTTGTGTCTGCTGTTGAAAACAAACCACCAGTTTAGATGATTGTGGTTTTGTACTGAACTGCTGCCTAGTTTGGGGGGATCACATCAATATGACTGTGGTGATATGGCCTGCATTGAAGGGGTGGAAATAGCCAAGCATTTCCTTGACTTGGTCGCATGCTATACTAGATACAGTGGACAGAGCACTGGCTTTAGACTCAAACAGACCTATTTTCAAATGCTAGCTTTGCCAACTATGAGCTGTGTGACGTTGGGCAGTTTATTTATTCAGTCTTTAATACTTGAGGAATACATATTCTGCTTGGGTTCCTAAAGGAATTAGGCACACAGTGTGGAATTAGACACACAGTCTGGCACACAGAAGGTCTCAGTATGTTCTAGTTCTTATAATTAGAATTTCAGAGTGATTTCACTGAACTGTATGCCACACTCTAGTACATTATCTAAGTCTATTGCAGTGGTTCTCAACCTTCCCAATGCCACGACCCTTTAATACAGTTCCTCATATTATGGTGACCCCCAACCATAAAATTATTTTCATTGCTACTTCATAACTGTAATTTTGCTACTGTTATGAATCATAATGTAAATATCTGATATGCAGGATGTATTTAGGCAACCCCTGTGAAAGGGTCGTTCGACCCCCAAAGGGGTTGCGACCCACAGGTTGAGAACCACTGGTCTAGTGCATGATCTGCAAAACAGGGTAAGGTTTACAAAAGGTTTATTATAGAGCAGGACTCGGTATATAATAAGCCCTCGATAAATATTAGATGTACTTGTCGTTGTTGTTGAAAACTATTGCCATAAGGGGCTGATTATTATTGTATTTTTATAGTATTTTTGTTAGTTATAGACTATTAGATATAATAGTTTGTAATATATTGTGAAAAAATATAATAATATTCAGCAAACCAGGCCTACTTATTCTGACCATTAACCCGCTTCCACCAGAGAGTTCCAATTCCTCCTACTATATGTTTGTAGATGCCCCAGTTCTTCATCCTCATGGCACTTACCTCAATGTAATAAAATAATCATTGTACAGTCATTGTTTAATATCTGTCTCCCTAATGGAGTGGATACACTGCAACTACAGGGGCCATATCTGCCTTGCTCACTGCTAAATCCCGACCACTCAACACAGTGCCTGTTCAGTGTATTTGTCCATGGAATGAATGAGTGAATCAGTAAGTCAGTGAATATTATTATACACGTGCCTAGGATTGTGCCTGGCATGTAAATAAGTATTGAGTGAATGTATGTGCGACGGAACTGTCAATAGCATTCATTATAAGAAATGTTTCTAAAGAAAACTGCTACATCCTTACAATTACTCATCACAAAAAAATGTTATTTTATGATAACATCTGCAGAACAGGCTGCTCATGTAAAGCCTTTTATTCTCAGTCTCGCCTTTCCAACCAAAACTAGGCACAAAACAGGCCCTCAAAATAGCTTTGTATATTAAAAATTCTAATCATGCTCTTGACATTGTCAACATTTCCTTGACTTGCCATTGTTGAGGAACAAACAAAATTACCAGGGAAAAGAAAACATGCAGCTCTTCAAAACTCAAAAATTTTCTCTGCATTAGTTATGTCTTTTCTTTTATTGGTTATGCACACATCTCAGACCTCATCCTTTTTAAAAGAAGGATTTGTGTAATTTATGTCTCTGCAATAAAAATAGGAACAAAAACTAATCTACTTGGAAATAAATTGTTAAGATACAATAATTATGGCAGGTATTTGTCACCAGTAAATATCTTTGGGCTTGTGACAGCCTTTTAGTTTTTATCTGTGAAAAAGAAAGTAACTATATTTTTAGTTTATCTTCCTCAATTATCTTGAGGGCAAAATATCTTTTTTTTTAAATTCTCCTATTCAATAGCTCAAGATAAAATGCAGGTAATTAGCTCTTCCACATGGCTCATCAAAGAGATTCACAGTGCAGTAACAGTTTGGAAAGCAAATAAAGCCACACAGAGTGAGGCTATAGGGTCCAAGCTGCTTAACAGAGCTGACCCCAAATTCCCTCCACCTGTGTTCCTCCCTCATCCTTTCCCCTGACTCCCTCGCCTTCAGTAACTACTATCCTGGATTTTTGGTTTATCATTTCCTTGATTTTTTTTCTAAATATACTTTAATCACATACATATGAATTCCTAAAAATAGATTGTTTCATTTTGAATCTTTTTACATTTACACAATGGATTCATGCTGTAATTTTCTGGAACTGGCCCTTTTCACTCCGTATCTTTTTTTTTTTAATATATCTTTATCAGGGAAGAATGGAGAGGGAGAGAGATAGAAACATCACTGATGAGATAGAATCATTGATCAGCTGCCTCCTGCACGCGTGGGGATCAAGCCCGCAACCAGAGCATAGGCCCCTACTGGGAATCGAACCATGACCTCCTGATTCATAGGTCGACGCTCAACCACTGAGCCACTGTGACCAGGCTCAGTCCATATCTTATTGCTAAGAGTCATCCGTATTATTGCATGTCGTTCTCATTAATATGTTTCACACTATATAATATTCCAATTGTGTAAATATTCCACAATTTATTTTCCATCCTCTTGTCAAAGCACCTTTGGGTTGTTTGCAGTTTTTGCTATTGTGAACAGTGGCTCTCATAGCATATCTCCTGATGTGCTTGTGGAAGACTTTTTTGAGAATGTACTTAAAACTGCTGGTCTTAGAGTATATAAACATTCACCTATACAAAATTTAATGAGTACTTGAAATATCAAACTGTTTTCCAAAGGGGTCATATCAATTTGCATGACCACGAACAATGTGTAAGTAATCTTATTGATCTGTCTTCTCCCACACTTGGCATTACCAGACTCATTATTTTAATCATTGAAGTTAATTATAAGTTGATATTTTAGTTATGCTATAGCATATGTTTCATGGTCTTATTATTTAAAAATAAACAAAATAAAAGTAAAAGAGGGTCATGCATGACCAATGATGAGACTATGTCATAAGCCAAAGGTTATAATTACAACCCACTTGTGTGTACTTCAAGTCTAGAGCAGGGATGGGGAACCTTTTTTCTGCCCAAGGCCATTTGGATATTTATAACATCATTCCTCGGCCATACAAAATTAACAGCTTGAAAATTAGCCTGCTATATTTAGTCAAACACTTAATTAACTCACCCCTGATGCCATGGCAGGGCCAGGTCAAATGATTTTGCGGGCCTTATACAGCCTTCAGGCCGGACGTCCCCACCCCTGGTCTAGAGGAAGGGCTCTAGCAGAGGCGGATAGGGGCTCCTCACCCTGCTAAAGACCTCAACGGTGGCTTCTAAGAAATATCTTGAAAGGAAGCGCAGAGGCCTTGGGATACAATGCGCCACCTGTATACTATGCACAGCCCATTCCTCTCCTTTCCAGACTCATCTACTCCGAGGGGCAGCAGATCGAAGGTAATCATACCTTAGATACCTTTTGAGTCCTTTGAAGGCAAGATGGTGATGGTTCTCCCTACCCTTGTTACCAGGCCTAATGGCCATGTCACACGAGTGTAGTGGCAACCTCTTAGGAGCCTCTCCGGTGAAAAACTCATCTGAGACTATCTTTTCTCCTAGGATATGGCATCGGGCTCCCACCCAACTCTCCACTGACCTCCAACATATCTGAGCTGATCAGTCAATACAAGTCCCACGGGTTTATGGATGTGCTGCACGACAAGTGGTACAAGGTGGTTCCCTGTGGCAAGAGGAGTTTTGCTGTCACCGAGGTAAGGGAAAACTGCGGATAACGTTAACGCTTTGTACAGCTTTACCTTGAAGAATAGGTGTTGGGTTTTTTTTCAAACTGAAAACAACCAATTCCCTTTTATAGATGTGAAACGAATACCCAGAGATCTTAAGTGATTTGCCCACGGCATACAGATAATCAGAACCTGCTTTCATGGCAATGCTCTGCCTTTACGATGTAATTATAAAGAAACCTGCAAAGTGAGCCAGAAATTGGATGATTAAGATAGGAAACTAAAAGGTGAACCAAGAGCCCCGAGAGCTGAGGCATTTAAAAAAGAAGCCAAATAAACCAGCACAAGGTCAGCCTGACATTTAAAAGAAGAAGAAGGAAAAAAAATCTAAAGCCAACGATAATGGCTTCAAACAGCTTGTATTTACCAATGACGCCCAACTATCTATTTCAACACAGACTCTTCTCCTGAGTTCCAGAACCATGTATCTGATTTCCTATTTGGCATCTCCACGTGACTATCCTAGAGGCATCTCATATTTAACTTGTCAAAAGCCGAATCCTTGATCTTCCTGCCTAAATGTGCTCTTCCTCCCATGCATCACATCTTGGCAATGGTACCTCTGTCCATCCTGTTACTTTTTCCATAAGCTGGCAGGTGTCCTTAATGCCTCCCACGTCTCACCCTCTATATCCATCAACAAACCACAACTCTTATTTCTATAAAATATGCCCCAAATATGCCTATTTTTTGCCATCTCCACGGTCATTACTTTAGTCTCCAAGTCATTGTCCCTCACCTGGGCCACTGTAAAAGTCTCCCCACTGGTCTCTCTGTTTTCATCCCTGCCTTTCTTCAATTAGTTCTCCACATGGTAGATCACTGTTCTGCTTAGGAGCCTGCAATGGCCTCATGTTAATTAGGGAACAGTCTAAAGTACTGAGCATGGCCTGCAGTGCCCTGTGGGATGTGACCCTGCCTAAGTCTTCAGCCTCATCTCATGCCACTTTCTCTTAGATCATTACAGCCCCACCACTGGAGTCATTTTAGGTAGAGATACCCCAGTGGCTTCCCTGCCTTCGGGTCTCTGCACATGCTGTTGCCTCCTCCTCCTTAAATACTCTTCCCCCTGACACTTACCCAACTAATGCCTTCTCATTATAAACTCCCAGCTGAAATCTCCCTTCTTCAGAGCCTGCCATTGTTCCTGATTCAATCTGAATCATATCTCCCTTTATATCTTATCTTATCTCTCACATTATTTCATAGCCCTTAGCATCATTTAAATTTTATTATTCATTAACATATATTTAATCAGTTATTATATTAGTGTAGTTCTCCTTCATTTAGATTATAGGACCTCAAGGGGCAAACATGTTGTTTACTGTTCTGTTCTCAATGCCTGCTTCATAGTAGGCACTCAGTAAGTAATTGTGGAATAAATGAACCAGAGAAACCAAACAATATATATGAGAAGAAGTTGGGAAGCAAAAGGTCAGAACATAAAGCAAGTGTGATATTGGTAGTATATTAGGTTGAATAATGTCCCCCGCAAAGTTAATGTCTACCCAGAACTTCAGAATGTGACCTTATTTGGAAATAGAGTTTTTTCTGAGGTAATTATTTAAGACTAGAGGCCCAATGCATGAAATTTGTGCAAGGAGCTCGGCCCTCACAGGCCCGGCTGCCTCGGCCCTTGCGGCCCCGGCTGCCTTCCAGCCCTGCGGCCCCACTCCCCCCTGGTCGTTCAGGAAGGTCATTCTACCGTCCCGTCTATTTAGCATATTAGCTCTTTATTATCCTATATAATAAATAGGTAATATGCAAATTGACCCTCATGCCATAACACCATCATAAGATGGCTGCACCCACAGTGGAGGCGGGGTTCCCATAACACAAGATGGCTGCGCCCACAGCGGAGGTGGGGTTCCTGTAACGAGCCATAACGAGCAATCAGCAGGGACCTGAGGCTGCATAGCAGCGGGCCGGGTGGGGGGGTACCTGAAGCCACGCTCCCCACCAGCGGGGCTTGACAGAGGACCTCAGGCTGCACCCCCTGCCTGGCAGGGCTTAACAGGGGACCTCAAGCCACACCCCCTGCCCTGCAGGGCTTGATGGGGGACCTCAGGCCGCGCCCCCCACCTCAGTGCCAGGCTGGGGGACCTGAGGGTGTGCCAGGGGATCTGAGGCTGCGCCCCCAACTGGCGGGGCTTGACAGGGTTGGGGCCAGCTGGGTCTGGATCTTACCCAATGGGGTGGGGCCGGCCAGGTCTGGGTCTCGTGTGATTTCGAAGAGCACGCAGATGGATGAGGACTTGACTCTGGGTCCCATGGCACGCCCCAGACTCTGACAGGATAAAGATTTTCATATACATTTTACTAATTTTCTTTCATCTCTGA